TTTCACAATGAAAAATATGGTATTTAAATGATAGACAAGGAATAAGAAGTTTAAAAGTTCAAAAAAAAATTTCAGGAATCTAAAAGAAATCCCGAAAAATCCCAAATAATCCCAAATAATCTCAAATAATCCCAAATAATCCCAAATAATCTCAAATAATCCCAAATAATCCCAAATAATCTCAAATAATCCCAAATAATCCCAAATAATCTCAAATAATCCCAAATAATCCCAAATAATCCCAAATAATCCCAAATAATCTCAAATAATCTCAAATAATCCCAAATAATTCCAAATAATCCCAAATAATCCCAAAAAATCTTTTTTGGATTTTAGAATCTGTAAAATCCCAAATCCGCTTTTCCCCCCTTGTGTTATTATCAGTACTTTGTTGGACCAAAAAAGTTTCGGTCTATCAATAAAAACCTTGTCAATTTTGTCTATCGTTTTTTTTCCGACACAAGAGAAGTTTGCTCATTGGTCTAAAAATCCTGGTTACGCCGCTGATCGATAGGTGATTTTTAATACTAGAAAAGATCAATTTTGGTTCCTTTCTCTTTGCCTCAACTTGCTCCAGTAAAATTCATACATAAATATATCTCAATTTATCGGAGCAACATCGTTTGTATATACTTTACCATTAGTTGACTTTTGTCTGGCTTATTAGATGCGAATTATTTTTGTAATACGTGCTCTAAATTACCACTCTGATTGACTCAAAATCGATGTAATCTAATCAAGTTCACTTCTTCAGCTGTTTGAAAGATCTTCTTTTAGACTTTTTTCTGAGATCTATCTACAGAAACGGATTTTGAATCAATTTGGCTTGTGTTAGTATTTGATCGAGTTTAACATTCGAATGGATAGTACAAAATATAATTACAGTATTCGTTTTCTTCTCACATAGTGATTGTTCTCTAATAGGAAAAGAAATAATTCTTGCTAAATCTCAATCAAGACTCACAGAAACACTAGTCTTTGTTGTTAGGTTATTTACTTTGGGACTCTACCAAAATAACAGTAGCCGGCTATGATAATGGAACAAGAGCTTCGACTCCAGTTGGCCTAGATCATCCCAGAGGAATTTTCATTGATGAAAACGATAATTTATATATTGCCGATAACTTTAATAACAGGGTTCAAGTATGGCATCCAAATGCTACAGTTGGGACAACTGTTGCTGGTGATCCAAATGGTGTCGCCGGATGGACAAACGGTAAGATGTATTACCCAACGTTTGTTTATGTAGATTCTTCAGTGAACATGTATATTATTGATAATGGAAATTCACGTGTTTTGCTTTGGTCTCCGGGCACCTCCGTTGGCACAACGATTGCCGGTACTACTGGTATCAATGTCAATTCAACAAGTTCATTTGGTCAAGCATGGACTATGGCTGTCGATACTTCAAATAGTAGAATTTACTTAGCCGATCTATGGTATAATCGAATTATGGTTTGGCCATTTTTTGCCAATGACAGCTCCTATATCATTCCACTATCGGATATTGTAGGCGTAACAATTGATATAGGAGGAAATGTGTATGCGACAACTCATCATTTGAATACGGTGACTCGTTTTCCAGCTGGATCAACCAGTGGCACAGTGATTATATCGTCAGGACTTTCACTTCCTTGGGCACTTCGATTTGATCAGTATGGTAATTTATATGTCGCCAATACCGGTAGTGGTACTATTGTTATGTTCTGTGCTGGTTTCGCTGCAAATTCTACTGGTAGCATAGTCGTAAGTGGACTCAATCAACCAGTTGATATTGCTTTCGACTCTCAAATGAATATGTACGTTTGCGAATATGGAAATCATCGAGTAGTTAAACTGGCCAAATTGCCTTGATATTTGTATGCGTATTATATTATTCACTCAGTTTGACATTTTGGCAATGACACTGACATAAATTCAAAGTTTCTTCTATTTTTATGGAACTCATATTGCTTTTGAAGGTATCGGGTGTCATATACTGCTTATTTTCGGATTCAGAATCCATTGAGGAAACAACAAGACGTGAGACAATGATGCTGTATGAAAATGATATCGATGTCGCATTAGTGGGATATTGACAGTGGTTGCGGATTCGTTCTTAATCCACACCCATTCATCAACGATTCATAAAGAAGAAATATTTTTGGAAAGATCAACAGCTGTAAGATTAAGATGAGCGCAATATTTCGCGAATAAATTCGACAGTTGATAAGCGGACGGCCATGTAGAATGATGCAAAGTTCATGCGCATTAAATTGAGGCTTGACAATCGGCTTATATTGATTTGAGAGATTGACCAATGTAGAAATTATTATTTTTTTGAATAACCGAATACTCGAAGGGAAGCTACCCAAGCAGACAAAAATTTGGAAAAACGCGTTTAAACGTATATAAGGGAACCGCGGTTGTGAGTCACTAACGTTCATTAAAGAACCGCAAGAAAACGCGTTTATTGGCGTTTTTATCAACTTTCTGGGCGTGAAAACGGCGAAAACTTCTCTTTTTGACCGTTAAAACGCGCTTTTATTCTAGAATTTAAAATCAATGCGTTATAACGCTCAAAAAAGAAGTTTTCGCCGTTTTCATGCCCAGAAAGTTAAAAAACGCCAATAAACACGTTTTCTTGCGTTTTTTTAATGAAAGTTAGTGACTCACAATCGCGGTTCCCTTTTGTACGTTTAAACTCATTTTTCCAAATTTTTGCCTGCTTTTGTATCTGTCTTTATTGACGCGCAAACGAATGCTTTAAATGAGGTTTTCAATTGTTCAACACTGATGGTTGCTTTTTGCTCATGAATTGTTGTACAGTGTTGGTTGATCATTGTACCTATTGTTGGCTCCCTACTGAAAATTGAGAAAAAGCTAAATAATTTTTTCTACTCTAGAATAATACTATCAAGAATACTTTAATACGTTTAATATGCAAACATTTTCCTAGCATAGAGGTTTTGGTTTACTTTCGTAGAAAAAACTTTCTATACCTTATGGTAAGTCAAACAGTCTTGCTAATCATTTCTTTTCTTGTAATTATTTTAATCTTACATTTTGTTCAAATTTCCTTCATAAAAAATTCTTCAAGTTTCTCATTTTCTCTAAATCCTTTTAACTGCAAAATATGATATGAGAAAAAGTTCACGAACACTCGTGTGTAGATCAGAGTGAGCAGTAGTTTACAGAAAGCGAAATCACCCAAATATTTGATAGCTTCTGAAGGCTTGAACGGGATGACTTGTGATCGCTCCTGTTCTGTATCTTCTTGATTTGATTCGATCAATGACCACAAGGACTGAATGCTATAAGTCATAGTTTCGCTCATTAAAGAGAAGTTCAAATCAGACATGTAAAATGGATCATTCTTTGTTGCTTGCTTTTTACAAAGGAAAGGTTAAATTTATAAGCTGTATATGCTAAAGAACCAGAATATCCGTCAAGTTATGTTCAACTCGTTTTCTTTATAATATGTTTGATGACGAGCTAGAATCCAAGCAGCACAAAAAAGTCTTTACATTAGAGAGGTCGTTCTAGCTTGCAAGAATGAAAGAGAGTTCATTAAGAAAAGGTCTATCTTCAGCAAAAAGTGACCAGTGATATTTTGAAGTATTCGGAATTGAGATTTGTTGACAGGGAAGGTTTTATTATATGGCGTCTATATTCTTATCATGTGCACGGAAAAAGATCAGACGAAAATGTTTTAATATATCAAACTTGTTCTCGTGTTACTCATCATGTCCTTCGAAACTTTATCCTAAGCTGAAGAGCGTACAGAGTATCTTATTCGAACATGCATCACTTCGAACTAGTAGATCTACATCCTTTTATTGCCGAAATGTCGAATACACTCGACTTCAAAATTTTCAAACATTTTGCGAGAGGATCATCAGACTAAATATAATGAAAGGAAGGCTTTCAGCACTAACGTCCACCATCCATTTCATGGTAAACCTGTGTCTTTTTCTCATTCACCGGTATTAATGATTGGATCACGTCTCGATCATGTGAGAATATGATTAAGACATCATTGTTTACTGAATGTTATTGGTATAAAAACAATCGCCAATAAAAAAGAACACGGAGAAAATAATTCGTTTCAGTCGGTCAAAGAATGTGAAAATAGTGCGTCATCGCTTCTCAAGAATAATTGAACTCATTTTGTCGATATTTTACATCTATCTGCAAAATAAATTGCTTGGAACTTCTACAATAATTCAATATGTCAGCAGCAGATTAGATAGAAAATAAAAGCATGCATTGATGAAATAAGAGTATTTATCTAACTGCATTACTAGTCATTGATACGTGTAGATGTGCATCTACATCATACTTGAATGAGCGAAGTTCATCGGGAAAGAGAAGCGAGAAGAGAACAGGCAAAGCTTCTCTAACTGTAATGAAGAGCAGTGATGACAGAACACCAAGACGTCTGAGAGAAAAAAAGCAATGAATAGACACTCTTGGAGCAACACGAGCTGCAGTTTGTTCGACTTTAGTAGTATTCGTCTTTAGCAGTATTCGTCTTTTTTCAAAAGAGAAAACGAGCTTTGCTTTATTTGCTCTGCATATTGATTTACTCGAACTCGAAAATTATAATCGTAGATTCTCTGAGAATACCCATGCCCAAAGCGGAGAGAAGAGAAAATTTTTAATGTTTGCGAAAATCACATATTTTATGGAGCAGAACTTCGCTGTTGAGTAGGATAGCGCCTATAGAACAAATGGCATCAACTGTCTGTAAAATCGACAACCCTGCTATCAATAAAATGCCAGTAACCGGATGATTTGAAAATCAATTTGACAAAGTGCTTTTCAACTGCATAGCCGAATCTTCTCAGATTCGTTTCACTCCGTGGTCAATACTTATTGTCAGTTGTGTACATAGTAAATGAACGTATATCTTTGTTATTGAAAGCAAAAGGATAATGCTCGTACGAAAAATCCGTTCTGTCATCAAACCAGCTTCTAGGTAGGAAAGTGCGTATAATGCAGCGTTGCTCGGATATAAAACGATTAAAATAAACAATATGATAGATGATATCTACATTTTACACATTATTAAGACAAGAAAGTATGATCCCATTTCCCATGATTCGACGATTTCATTCAATAAGAAACGAATCTCAGTATGAACGATTCTAGTATGGGAATCTATGTCATTTGCAAATTAACAGATTGTGATAGACAGTTTAGCAGACACTTTTTAGGATCTATGATGGATCGTGGTTATTAAATGCCGTACTATTTGAAGAACCTTTGGTTTTGAATATAATTCTTTGGAGTATTTCAGATATACATTTTCTTCTTCATTTAATTAGATTATTGTGAATTCTTTCTTGAAGTTCTTTTTACTGTTTTTTTTTTCAAAAAGAAATCGACAAAAGTTGTACATCTTTTGCCTTCAGTTTTTGCTCCCACATTCTAACTCGATCTTCCATGTGTTGTATTCAACATCGTCCGCTATATTTACAATTTATTGTGACATTATCTCTATCGATGTTCAAAGTTAATTCGATTCGAAAAATAACAAAATATTGAAATTGTATTGTATTTTATTCTCGAATAATTTTTGACATCTTGTTGATTGGATTAAATAGATAAACATTCTCTCTGCTCATCGAAATCGAAACTTTGCTTCAACTACATAAGAAATAGATTGTTACCAACTTTATTTCGAAATCAATTTCAATTTAGATATTAGCATTGTCGTCTTATCACAACAATGATTTAACTGTCGAAGTATGATGAGAGATCTTTCAAAAAAAAATGCAAATATCATCCATTCTTTTTGCCTTTCGTTTATTTCGTTGAAGAAGCAATAAAAAGACGTAATCTATAAAATGTTATGTAGGTATTTGTGATGAATTAAATATTGGATATCGGGAAGCAAAATGATTCTTTTAACACATCTTAACTTCCTCTTTCAGTAGATCGTTCTCGACGATCAGCTTAACATTTTTCAACAATTCATTGACATCCCAAGTACAATCTGAGTATCGTTCTCTTAGAAAGTCGGCCTGTTCTGCCGTAAGCCATACGCAGTACCCAGCTGCAAGTTCAGGTGTATCTACTATCAAGTGCATCATGTTCTCTGGCATGTTCTTTGTCAATTCGGTACGCGCTCCTCCAGGATGATAAGCGAAAAACTCTCGCGATGTGATACTCCGTGTGAATGAAATCGGTTATTCGGTTAATGGCCGTCTGTCCAGGTTGATAGGCCGAAAAGTCAATGCTCGTTAGCATAGAACCGATTGAGGATGTGTTGATGATCGTTGCTACGCCTGCATACTTCTTGAAAAAATGTGTAGTCGGAAGGTAGGTTCCTTTGATGTTGACTTCCCATGTGTGCCATCACTCAACCGTGTCCGTCTCCGCTAGAGGAATGTTGCATTCAAGATAGCCTGCATTGTTCACCAGAACATTCACACTACCTTGAATTACATGAAAGAGAGCTTCAACTTGAGATTAATTTTTTACGTCTGTTTCAACTTTGATGACCTCCACGTTGTTTGATATGGTCTTGATTTCACTCATTACCATGTCTAGTTGGAAAACCGTTCTTGTGGTCAGAATGAGCCGATCAGCTCCAGCATGCGCAAATGCGATGACAATTGCTCGTCCAATACCTCTGTCTGCACCCGTAATGAGAATAGTTTTTCCACAGGCCTTACTGGCTAATGTTGTTTTGGAATCAATAGCCTCGTAAATATCATGGTGAACAGTTTCAATAAACGAAGGTTGGATACGAGCCGGCATGCTATTCTATTGAATTTAGACAACGAAATGTGCACGTAATCACCTTAGTGTCGTAAAATAAGCATACAAGTAATAGTACATATCACGCTTGATTTCATTTCACCAAT